TGAAGGTAGTTAGTCCTCTCTAATCAGACTTTAGGACGGAGTACAAAGTACTAATGTAATCACTCATGGCCCGCGTTTGAGCGTTTGAGGGGCCCACCTGGATCCTCAAGAGAAGAACAAGCACTATGCATGTGGAAGGTCAATACGGAAATGATGGTAAATGGAATGGTAATAATGAGCAAAGCTGAATCCAAATAGTTAAAAGAAGGAAATATCAAAGTACCGTAGCACAATAATTCGATTGGAAAAGGAAAAGGGAATCTCGCGTGGCAGCCATAGAGCACGTGACACGAGCGCTTTGGGTACCTGCGCCAGTCAACGTTCAATGACCTTTACCAATCCCAATCAATCGTCCGCATTGGCTTTGAGGCTTGCGCATGTTCTTGATTATTGCTGTCAATGTCCTTGTCAATCGTCCATCATATCCAAGACGTCAACCAATTGTGAGTCCTGAGTTCCTGACTCGAGGAAAATCTTGACCCAGAGAGGAATGAGTTGCGTGGGATTGGCTTGGCTCTGAAACAGCCCAGGCTTTGGCCCACAAATGCGGGGAGAAGCCGGCTTCTTTTCCCGTGTCTCGAAATGATTTGGTTACATTGTGGCTTGGTGGCTACAATCCTACAAGGAAGGCTCGATACAACTAATGTAAAGCATGTCAGTGACCCGTTCCCTAAACATCCTCCCCGGTGCATTGCATTTGCAGTTGAGGTTGTCTTCAAACATGGCATCATGGCGACGTCGACGACTTCGAACCGCAATTCCTCCATTTGAGGTCTCCAGCTAATCATATCACGCTTAAATAGGATATCGCATTAGAAAAGTCACTGCCGCCTGCTCTACGCAGTAGCTGTAGCCCTGCTTTGATGTCAGCGTCAGGGGAAACGTCAACACGTTCGGCTGCCGTACGCGTCAACGCAGAACGGAGTAGTTTCTGGGTAATGCAAGCTTCTCTTGTACCTCCAGTGGGAGTGCATTATCGTTGGGACCAAAACTTCAGGAAACTCTGGATGTTCCCCTTCTCAACACTGAAAGTGTGTTTCCCGATCACAACTGACAACGTAGAGTTCCCCGTGGCACATCGACCGCAATGGGCCAAAAGGTCTGGTTAACTTCGGATTGTACGATATGAACCCAATCCCCCTTTACGGTGTTACTCCAGTCCCTGAACTGATGACCTGACCATGATGGCCTCGAAATCAAAAAGCTTATTTGGCTCAATCGACTCAATGTTGCCAAGCAAATAAGGAAGGAAGATCATCGGCAAGCTTTACCAATACACAGATTCTTCTACTTGATAGTCCATTTGGACCAACTATCGGTTGACTCGCTTCAAGCCTTCATACTGTCCATCTTCAAGTCCTGCAGACTCGCAGTCATACAACTGGATCGCCGTAGTGGGTCTTGGCAGGTTCTGGAGTTCCTAATCCGAGACGTCTCGGCGACCTAACGCATTTCGAGTAAAGGTCTACCAATCTCGCGCATGCTAAGCAAAAGTATGTGTCTTCGGTAACCAGAAACAGAAAATCTTGTTGGTTTTGTTCTTGCGGGGGTTGTTGCGGTGTTTACACGCCTCCGCAAGGTGTAATACGATTTCCTCCCTGACCGTGCTGCAATCGAAGGTTCTCTGTGGTGGCAAATTGCAGGTTCCTGTTTTTTGTTGAACGGATTAGCTCTCCGAGTAGGTCCAGCACTCAATTCAAGGCCATTTCTAACTGACTCGCCATCTTTGTCAAGAATGTGAATATACCTATAGGCTATGGGCTGTGTGCCTGGAACCCACTATGGCAAAAATGATCCCAATCAGCCAGTTGGTTTCTAGAACGGTGTCCCCCCTGCAACAGCAGCGAATGAAAAATGGCAGCTCTACGCAACCCCCAGGTCGCACGACGGTTCCATTCGGAGTACAGTGCAAAATAGCCGGTGGTCGTTCGAGGTACAAACCTAAGAGGTAATCGAACAATTTATTGCTTCTTGCCCTATCGTTTGATTCCTCTTTATCCATTGGTGCACGGATTACGACAAATTTGACGGTGCTGATGTCCGTGTCCAAAGATTCCCGAAGACTCGTACTGTGCAGCATCCTTGTACTCGATACTGGACCCGTGGGAAGAATACTACGTACCCCCAAGCTTCCTGACGGCAACATTGACCCCCTTTCTTACAATTCCTCGGCTTGGAGAGGGGATCTTGCGGTGGAGCAACTAGATATTCCTAGTACAATAGTACTATGCAATAGGGCTAAGGCGATCGTTGGCCTTCCGGCAGTGATTGTGCTGATCAAACCTGAACAATCTTATTAATATTAGTATTATTATTATCACTTTCAAGGTTTTTAACTTTTAACTGACATTTGACTTCGCCCATTGCGCGCTAGTATCACCATATGATATATCATTATTACTGGTTCAGTGGCTAACTTCGCACAGTCCACCTTCTCCAAGACAGTTTCTGAGTTTCTGTGGGAGCTGATGGATAAACCACCTCTGTGGCTTAAATCTTTTTCATCCTCACTGATCATTGCCTTCTTGCGCGACTATTAGCTTTCTTCTTCCTCTTTTTGTTTCCCTTTTTGTTCTTTTCGGTCATTTCCCCTGGTTCGTTCCCCTGGTTTATTACCTTATTTATCTTACCAGTCAGTGGTCTTATTTGGAGCTCTCGAAATACCTGGCACTCTTTCTGCGATCGTCTTATTCCCAGGCTCCTCTATGCCGACCTGACTCTGTGCAGACGATGATTGCAACTCACACAGGGACGTGAAATCACCAGGAACTTCCCCAGCAATGAGTCTTTTCCAAATGCTGTATCTGGCCGGGAACAGGCAAGATGAGAGTCATGTCCTGTCGCCCCGGCTGGCGTACAGCCAGGCTGGCATCACGTATGATATTGACCCATTACCTAAAACACAACACAAAGGTCTTATCGCAGTTGCTGTCATGGCCATCCTCTCGTTTATTGCGACGCTTTGTCTGATCTCCTTTATCACATACCGTCTTATTTTCTGGCGCTCAAACTATCATCGGTACATCGGATACAACCAATATGTCGTGCTCATCTACAACCTGGTCCTGGCCGATCTCCAGCAGTCGCTCGCGTTCCTACTATGTTTGAAATGGATTGCCGAGGACAGAATAGAAGCTTCATCTGCAGCATGCTTCCTGCAGGGATTTTGGTTGCAAATCGGAGACCCAGCAAGTGGTCTCTTTGTGCTCGCCATCGCGATTCATACATTCCTTCTGGTCGCCATGGGCCATAAGTTGAGCTACCGGGTCTTTGTTTCTGGAGTTATTGGACTCTGGTTATTCGTCGCTGTACTGGTTATTATTCCACTTGCTGCCCACGGCCGATATGTGTTCATCCCGTCTGGCGCCTGGGTAAGCATGCTCATCGCCCTTCCCGCTCAACCCCCATGCTAACCGATCAAAGTGCTGGATCAGCGAGGAGTACGAAGCGATCCGATTGTGGACGCACTACATCTGGATTTTCCTGGCCGAATTCGGCACGGTCTGTCTCTACGCCATCATGTGGTTCCAATTGCGCCGGCAAATTGAGCAATCAGCGATTTTGGGAAGCAGCCACACGGAGAGTCTGAAGCGTCTCCGTCGAGTCATCGGATACATGGTGATCTACCCAATAGCATACATTGTGCTTTCACTTCCGCTGGCGGCCGGACGAATGGCCACCGCTCAGGGCAATACACCGAGTATCGCGTATTTCTGTGTCGCCGGAGCGCTGATCACAAGTTCCGGCTTGGTCGATGTGCTGCTCTACACTCTGACCCGTCGAAACCTCATCCTCGAATCCGAACCGAGTGAGGACCGCAGCTACAATCGGTTTGCCAGCAGTAAGAATCGAAGAACAGACAACCACCTCACTACCATTACCGCGGATCCCAAGCATACTCGCACGGACATCAGCGTGCTGCGCACCCGGAGAGGTCGCGACGATGACGAAGATAATGTCGGTGGGACGACGCGCGATGGATCAACAGACAACATCGTACAACAACCCAGTGTCGAATTGGCCCCCATGGGTAAGGTGTTTCAGCACACCACGATCGAAATCACCCACGAACCGGCATATCCCGAAGCAGAAGGGAGCGACCGGTCCAGCAAAGACTCTTTGCAACGCCCGATTAAGGGTGCTGAGAATGCATCCCGGATGTGGGGTAGATAATGGATGTCTACTCCGTCTATAATGCCTCTTCATCTAGATACATGATGTCAACATTTACGTTCCTTGTCACTTCTATATACCGCTATCTTCGACTCCGTACGAACTTCTAGTGATGTCCCCATTCCCAATTTCACTTCGTCCTAGGCTACTGAACACGATGTCCTACTACTATTCTTCATCCCTATTTCTCAACTGAGCGGAGCATTGTCTACATGACTCTTACCTTGACTCAAGCGACGGTGGCTCTTTCTGCTTGTGCAGCCTTTGTACATTTTATATCATGTTTCCCGACTCTTCCCTTTTCTTTTTGTCTACTGTTTTGGGGAGGAAATATTTCTATATAACTTCATGATTGGTGATGATCTTTCTTATCCGATGGGCCCCCTTGTCGAGCTTCGGTCAATGCTAATTACAAGACTTGTCTTGTCATACTATATATTCAACCAGTATTGAGCGAATTCTTGAGCGTCCGCAGAGTCGAAGTTAAGCTAAGCTACAAAGTATAGGAGGCCAATGTTCAGACTGCAGTACAAGCGGACGCATACCACTCTCATGAATGAAAATAGTGCTCTGAAGCAATCTAGCAATCCCGGGTTGGGAACTATTCAAGACCCGTAGACAGTGATTGCAAGATTGCAATATCTGGGGCATCGCCGGTATTTCGTGGGGATGCGATATGTGGGGATGACGATGTGGAGCCGACGGATGATGTGGGGGTAGTATAACCATACCTGTATAAAAGTGCTTGAAGGTACGGAGTACGACGAGTAGGACAGACATCCATTCATCGAACATCAACAGATGCTGAGTTGAAGGCGATAGGAAAGATGGAGGGTCGAATTGTCCTCTATACGGCGCTCGCCATTGCTATATGGGTACTCCAAGTATGTCTCGAGGCGATGGCTGATCGAGTCGTGACTTACAGTAAACCCTCTAGGTTCTCTTGAAGTTCAGGTCGCCTCTGCGTCGCGTACCGGGTCCGTTCTACACCAATGTGACTAGACTCCCGCTCAAGCTGTCCATCATCACGGGGCAACGCATCTACTTCGTCCACCGTCTTCACCAGAAGTACGGGCTGATCGTCCGCATCGCGCCGGATGAAGTCTCCATCGCCTCACTGGAAGACTTCAAGGAGATCCACCGTGTCGGATCATCCTTCCTCAAGAGCGAGTGGTACGAGAAGTTCACGGGGCCCGGGGAGCCGGGCGTCTTCAACATGCGTGACCCCAGGCAGCATGGGCAGCGGCGGAAGCTCTTCGCGCGACCTTTCTCCAAGTCCGAGCTGCGGCGGACCTGGGAGCCCGTGGTAAAGGAGAAGGTGCAGTTGGCTGTTTCCCGGATCCGAGGGGAGCTGGCTGCGGAGGGCCGGGCGGATATTTTGAAATGGTGGACTTTCTTGGCTACCGATGTCAGTGGCCATTTGATGTTTGGGGAGTCGTTTGATATGTTGACACTGGGGAAGGTGAGGGATGTGCCGTTTACAGGGTGTTGTGCTTGGCTAATTCTTCGAGAAGAAAAATGAGTATATTCAGGTGCTCGAGAAAACCATGATGGGTTCTGGAATCAACGCGGAACTTCCGATTGTGGGGTTTATCGGTCGCCATGTTCCCCTTCCGGCATTCAGGACGATGTTCCGCGCCACAGAGTATCTCTTCCAGTATGGACAGCGAGCCGTCATCAATAGCAGGGCGACGGGAAATGCAGCCAGGAACATCTTCGCTGGAATAATCCACGAGTCCGAGAAGGACCATGCAACCCTCACGGATAAAGATGTGATACAAGAGGCGGGGAACCTGATTGTGGCCGGTTCTGATACCACGGCAGTCACGCTGACGTATCTCGTTTGGGCTGTACTGTCCCAGCCTGACCTGCAGCGCGAAATTGAAGAAGAAGTTAGCAGTCTCAGAGCCGACTTCGACGAGGCTGCACTGGAAGAGCTGCACCTGCTGAATGCTGTCATCATGGAGACATTGAGACTGTATGGAGCGGCTCCGGGCGCTCTCCCTCGCACTGTTCCTGAAGGTGGAGCGACAATGTCAGGCCATTACCTCCCACAGGGTATCACAGTGAGCACACAGAGTTATACAATCCATCGCAACGAGGTTCTCTATCCGAATCCCGAAGCTTTCAACGCGAAACGTTGGATTTTGGGTGATGGGCCGATTTCCAACCCAGCCAACATCGGCTTCTCCCCATTCGGGACTGGGTCGAGAACTTGTCTTGGAATTCATTTGGCTTGGATGGAGCTGCGATTGGCAGCAGCGGAGTTTTTCCGTGAATGCAAGGGGGTGAGACTGGCCCCTACTGCTACCTGGGAGACCATGAAGCCGGAGAACTACTTCTTGATCGCCCCAGCAGGGCACCAGTGCGAAATTCTGCCTGCTTGAGCGTCAACGTTTTGACTTGACTGCGTGGGAACTTCTCATGTAGAATGGAATCCTGGAATAGGATCACAAGTCAAAAACATTATGCGAGTTCCGATAAGAGTAGTGTGCAGAGATTGGTCAATACAAGCTATTGATGCCTGTCAATTGCCGGTGAGGAATTGGCCCATGAACAGGCTATCCACTGTCCTCGGCCGTCCGCATATCCTCGGAAAGTGTAGCACAGGATGAGCATGGTCGATTACTCGTAAACTCATGCTCACAGGCAATGATATGCAACGAGTAGTCCGGAGGAGTCTGGTCTAGCAGAGATAGGCATACGCAAGAGTCCGCAATCGGGATTTGAATCGGCCAGATCTGCATGCACTGCGCTTCTTGTGGAAAATTGACAGGCACTAATGCCCCTCATTCACTGAGGTGCCCTGATCTGGGAATGGGCGATGGCTATCATTGCATGCGACAAGCCACGTTGAAACCCCACTCGCGGAATCTTCATCCGGAACGCATGTACATCTCGTGGAGTCCATCCTTCTCGTAGTGCTTTTCGGTCTGTGCCGGATCATCAGTATTGATAGGCACCAAGAAGCTTATCATCTCGAAGGATGAACCACGGACCCAAGATGAAGCAGGAATTGGCATCAAGTCGGGATTCGCTTATCCCGATCGGGCTTTGCATTTCTCCCTCTCCCGATCCTGGAAAGGACCCCACCATCAAAGCCGCTGCGCTATGGTCATGTCATGGGATTTTCTCACAGGCTTGGGTTTTGAGTTAACTTCAACCCTGCAGGGCTCTGTAATAATGAGTTGATTTTATGGCAGCAATGTCGAACACGACAGCAGATATCGAGCCCGGTAATTCTCCGTCTCGCAGGCCTCCGGTCAAAGTTGCCTGCCTTTCATGGTGTGTATACCGCTGGACCTGAAAGCCCCTTCGAATTCGCAGAACTCTGACGCAAATCCCCTGTACAGCCGTGCGTCGCGAATTCGCTGCGATGGCCAAAGTGCTTGCTCGAACTGCAGTGCGAAAGGGCACATATGTGCTTACGTTCCTAGCAGACGGGGAGGACCGCGCTATAGCAGAAAAAAGTCCAACGCTGTCGACTCATTTGATGGACATACCGAATCCAGAGGAGGCCTGAAAGAAACAAGGTCATCGGACTCTGATGGAGACGGTATGACTCAGGTGTGCCGGTTTTGGGAGAACGTATTAACAATGCTCATTCTTGCTTGTAGAATGGTTGAGTCAATTAGTAGGCATGAGTGGACCGGGGGCCGGACTGCGCAGTCTCGACACACCAATGGAGGAGATTGAATCCATCTTTGACTCCGTGTTTGCTCCTATTCCAGGAGAAGCAGTACACGAGCTGGATCCCTCTTTGGTATCAAACCTACTCCAACTGTATGGAAGCGATGAGGATATGTAAGGCCCGGACAGTAAGACCTCAACGACATCAGTGGCTGATCATCAGAGCAGACTAGATGCCTACTACGTCTTCATCCATCCTTATCACCCCATTCTACCTCAACCCGAACGTTTGCCCGTATATAACCGCCCCTTGTCTCAGCGGCCAGAGTTTCAGCCATTGAGTCCGCTCAGTCTAGCCATCTCTGCCGTTCTGGTTCTCATTCCGCATCCGAGCGAGACAGATCCATTGAGAGCAGAGTATGTGAAGCTTCGTAGGGACTTCGCGCACTCCTTTGCTCGAGATGCCCTGTACGCTGTAGAGGTTGATTGCAGTCTGCTGAACCCATCGGATAATGTTCTCAGTGTGGATAGAGCGCAGTTTCATCCTAAGTTGCCTTTGCATTTAGAAAGTATCCTAGCTCTGAATCTTCTGAGTGTTTATGAGTATGCACAGCGAGGGAATTTGAGCACAATGAGCGATCGAGCGAATCAGGCGCTGACCTCAGCGATGAAATTGTCGTTGCACGAGTCTCTCGAGGAGGATGAATACGCAGAAGCCAGACGGAGGACCTGGTGGATGACGGTTGGTCTTTTCTTTCAGCACCCTGCTGTTTTCTTTTGACAAGTTAGTTGACATTGATACAAACAGTATATGGTGGCGTGTCAAGCAGCCATTGTGAGCACCATGGTAGGACACTGATCACTGCGGTGTGTGTTGACGAGACTAAACATCGGTAGCCTGCAACATTCGACCCGTTTGACCCTCATTTCGTGACACCATTTCCAGAGGTATGTATCTGATCCTTGGAATAAGGGATATGCTGTACTCATTCTGCCCAAAGGGATGGAAGGTTCCTGTCGAGGCGCAACAGACGCTCCTTGAGACTGTCGCGTTCATGACTGACCTCGAGCAAATGAAGGCTTCCGGCCAAAGTGACCCTGGGATACGGGAGCGAATGTTGGGTCTTGATTCACAGATTGGATCATTGTTGTTTCTATGCAGAGACGCGCCGTCTGCTCCCAAGATTGTTCCAACTGGGCTAGAATCTCCGGAGGTCATGGCCTCCAAGATCATGATCACTATTGCAGAAATTCGATTACACACGTGAGCACACTGTTCACAACATCAACACAGATGGTTACTGACACCTCGCGACCAGAGCCAGAATTAAAGCCCACAGACTTTGCGCTTTCCAAGATATTCCCGGTTTCCATCAACGACTCTACGAATTCGGACCATCTCCCACTGTATCTGAATCCGAGACTCAGCCCAAGTCTCCTTCTGAGAATGGAGCAGAAATTACCCTGCCTTTAACGCCTTTGGCAAGCTCGCCTCTGCATTTTCCTTTCTCCTCCCACGAATCATCCAAAATCTGCTTCCATGGCGCTCTCAACATCGTCACCTTACTGAACAATCTTCCCTTTCCTAACCCGACCAACGAGATCCCGCTCAACAGCCCACCATATCTCTCCCCGACAACCCGCGTCGAGATTCCACGGAGCGTATTGACCTTTGCCTGCTGTGGAATGCAATCCGGCTACGTGATGTTGATGCTCTGTCTCAAGGCACGCTCTCTGCGCGAGTACCGCATGGAGGCATCCAATTTCGCAAACGCTCCCTCTCTGACTGCTCTTTTGAATGAGCTGCATCAAAGCTTACGGCTCCTTGTAAAGTTTTTGACTAATTGTGCGGTCGCATTTGAGGCGCTTTCTGGAATGAGAGGTAATCCCATGTCTGAGATTATCGTTGACTTTCTTTGACTTTCTTTGACTCAACTGACGCGACTCTCGTGGGACAGACCAAATAGCTCAAGCGATGGAGCCAGAGTTCCAGAGGTAGCTTCATCCGGCCGAATCTCTTCTTACTCGATTTATACGCTGCATGTTTAGGTCGATGGCGCCAGTGCAGCCGGTGCATACAGTGTTGGACCTGGGAGCCTCGGGCAGATGTTGGCCATACAGCCAAGGAGATTACAGATCCTACAACAATGGCACATCGGTGCCTGTCGAAATCTTCCTCAGTTCGAGACACAAGACTTATGATCTGCCCCTGACATAATACTTGCCCTCTTCTCAGTGACGTCTGGTACGAACTGCAGCAGAAGGATTTGTGCATTCAAATTACTTAAAAGTACCCCTGGTACAGACCATCGCTATGTCTGGCATTTCAAGCCTGCAATTAGTGATCGCCTGATAACGCTATGACGAATCTCGTTCACTCCGTAGATAACCACTTTGCCCTCTTGAGTCTTGCGCAAGGGGTTTTCTTTACATGTATGCTCAAAATACTTGCAAATAGTTCGGGTGCTCTGCAATATTCTACTTATATATTTCAGAACAAAGTGTTTGTTAATTAACGTGCTGCTATTTCTTATATCAGAAGTTAGCATCCTGAAGCATGTGATCTAGCTGCTTGCTCCAGTACAGAAGGGCAATGCTCTTGGTCTGGTAGACACCCAAGAACCAGCCAGCCCCAAGCCTCCATCCACGCCCCTCTACACCCTGGGCCTATTTTACAACGAAGGTAAGGCGCTGTTTCTAGAAGGTGCAAGACTACGGAATGAGGAATAGAAGTTGCAAAGGAGCACGACTGACAAATCAACTAGAAAGGACCAGGTTGCATGCCAGTTGCGCACTTGAGTCGAGGGGCCCAAAAATAAAGCTAAGTAGTGCAAAGGGTATCTTTGATTTCACAATCTCAGAGCAAAGTTATTGGCATCGCAATCCCAGCTCCTGATACATAGCGATCAGCCGCTGCCTGACCGTCTTCGCCAGCGGCCATGACTTCCCCAGCACATGCAGCGCGCCAACTCCAAGCTGGATCCTCGCCTTCATCGACTCCTGTTTCTCTGGTATGGGGACAAACAAGCACGCAACTGTGTGCACTACCACACACATGGCAAGGGCGCAGGTGAAGAACGGGGTGCGATATTTGACCGGATTCGGCAGGGTGGCTAGATTACACAGCATATCTGCTGCTCGCAGTAGCTTCTGCGAATGCAGGTCGAGGGAGGCGGAGGGAGGAGTGGTGTCCCGGGTTGTCGGTAGGCGTGTACATGAGGTGTGAGCATGGATAGAGGCGTACCTCATGTTCGATCGAGGGTGGTGGAGGTAAATCAGCGCACTGAGGCAGGGTCAGCTGTCATGGGGAACGCGAGTGGGTTGGATAGTTGGTGCACGCACAGGTAGCTCGTCATTTGAGCTTGGAAGGTCATCTCATCCAGGCGGGGATGGCTGCCGTACACATCCCGCTGGGACGATGGAAGTTGCATCAAAGATGTCACCAGGGCAGCGTCGATGGTCTCGATCCGAGTCTCCAGGTCAATATCCAGCGATCGATTCAATTCCATGACCATGCCGAGAAGGCGCACGGCCTTGATCCTGTATGCGAATGATGAGAACCGTCTTTCGTCGTCGCAGTGCCAGTTGTTGGTGAGATCTTTGAATGTCAGATTGCTTAATGTGACCTAGCAGGTATCAGCGCAGGCGTCCAGAAGGAAGCATAAGAACGACACACCGCGTCCCCGGAGTTATAAAGCTCTTCATCGCAAGGTATCTTCACTTCTGCAGCCTGATGGAACAGTCGGAACGCGCTCTGATCACGCATCGCAGCCAAGTATCCGTCCACAAAGTACAGCTCCCAATAAGTCCGCCGCCAACTCTCCTCCAATATGGGATTTCCACCAGAATGTTCCGCCGCGAATGCGGCTTTGTTCATACCCAGTTCCAGCGCCAGGTTAACGGCAGCCTGCATGATACGGGTTGCACTGTCTTCAGCGCCATGTGCGTGATCAACGATGGCGAGAAGGACCATTCCCTGGACCTTGAACCCGTCACGAGGCGTTGAGTCGGACAACACAGTATAGGCAGGTTGGCGGAAGATCTCTTTGAGGGATGGATCGGGGTGCTGGTGAGCTCCGATGAAGCGCATGATGGACAGGATGTATTGGGGGATTCCACCGCATACGGGAGAGTGAAGTGCTTTTCTTGGGATCAGGAGCGGATGCGAGCGGTGGAAACTCTGATAATAGAGCTGAATCAACGGATCATACGCAACTTCTGGCGTTACGGCGTTCTCTAGTTCGGGCCACGCAAGAGCAGTCTCTGGCAATCCGGGAATGTCTAACGTCTGGGAAGTGTCGAGTAGTGGTTGGAAGAGTGCTTGACCTGTCTGGTTCTGTCAGTGACTCCTGGGCCATATTGCTTTGTTCTGAGAGATTCAAGTCCCATACATCTACAAGATCCGAGTTGAGAGTTGTCCCACTGAGCCAGTCTGGGAAAGCATCCAGATCGATTGCCGAGAACAGCGAGGCATTATCATCCAGCTGCTGCTGAGGATCGCCGTTCTTTGTTCGCAACCCGCGCCTGGATCGAATATAGCGACATTCTGTGTTGGAAGCCTGGCAGCGGCTACAAACTGGCATCTGGGCGTCACATTTTAGATGACGGCGACGACAGGTCATACAGGCCAGCGATGACGGCTGGCGAAGAGGCTTGGATGATGCGGAATCTTGTTGCATGGTTATACTCGACGGGTCTGTGTCACTATTGAAGCGTCCCAAGACTTTTACAGTGGCTCGATGTGACAAAGTTCGCTTTTTACATCATTATCCGATGGCAAACGTCAGTGGTTTCTTACTTGTCGGGGGTCCTGCAAGCCAGAGACTGGACCCAAGGATCCCAATATTCGAATGAGAATATGTGAAGCCCAGCGATTCCCGAGATCCCCGAATCGGCGACCACAGTTGCAGTCTCGGGGACGCCATGTATCTCCGGTTTAACTTCCACCTCTATCCTCGTGTGAATTGAATAGACTCGACTTCCAGCTCAATAAGTGTTCTCCGAATGAGATGAATCTGAAATAAGGCGGATAATCTGATTTGTACTAACCCTTCAATTTCAGCGGTGACACAGGCACCATAGCGGTCTGAAATATAGTATCGGGGACTCGAGTAAGGAACCCGAAGAACACCTGGCTCGCATCGTTTGCCCATTGAGCAGCAGCCATCGATGAATCAATCACAATCCTGTGATTGATTTAGTTATCTCTGTTCTCTTTTGCCTGAATTCTGCTTCCTCGCATCCCTTCCAGGCATGCTTACTTGCCTATGCAGCTCGGCTACGGTGGCCTAGGGCGGGATCACTGCAGCTTCGCCTTCGGCAGGCCTGAGACACACAGTTGCATATACATGGCTTGGACGGTGAACAAACAGACTGAGCATCTTTCGATGACGAGGTGAACGAGAATATTGCCGGGAAAACAGAGGGCACTTTACTCCACGTCAGCGGGATGGATCGACTCAGCCGCAAAGAATTGTCGCCAATAACTCTTGCAGCCACTTCGCCGACACAGGATCCTCGCAAACAAGTGACAAAAGAAGGTATCGATGGAAAACAGCTGGACTTAAGAGTATGAGATTTCCCCGTCTAAAGCTACTGAGAGCGGCTGGGCGGAAATGGCCCACACTGGGTATACCGTATGGAGCCCCCGCGACAAGGCCGTAGCAACCAAAGAGCACTCCCCATGAGTCCCTAGCGCATTGTTCTGGCTTGCTTGGGCGGGACATTTGACTCTCATCAATGGAGTACCGTCTGAGTCCTCTGCTATGTAGATTACATTGACTTCTGGGACGGCGACTCGCTGGTGACCAGACACAGGCACAAAACTGCCAACGATGTAACTTTACCCACAGAAGCATAATCCCTTAACAAGCTAGATACTCGTCGAAACGGAACTCCGGTCCTCCATAGGCTCCATATTTAGCTTGTGGATCCCTTGGCACCTTGTGGGAATTCCCGAAAAGGTCCCCGAAGCCAAGGACTCTGGCGCCGGGGAATAGTCTCCCGCCAAGACATGAAGACAGCCCTGTGGCATGATTGCATTCGCAGATCCTTCTTGGACAAGGTATCAATCTATGTCCGATCAAATATGATGGTTAGATTGATAGGATGATCGTGATCCGAAGCTCGGTCAAGTGGTTCCATCTTGACCTGTGGTTAGCGAACAACGCTGATCGGATGAATTGGCTGGAGGCCTATGGAAAGCTGCCAGTGTCGATCGCGCCAAAGGAGGGATCATATGAATTCTGCTGCTGCTTCAGAAACATGAACGAAAATGTCTTTGGTCTGCAGTCCTGCGTTAGTCGCAGTGATTTCCAGATTTTCGCATTGCTTGAGGCCTGCTCACCAGACCTGATCCGTATACAGAAGGGTATAGCGACCAGTCGCTCTTGATGCTCTTATTCCCAGAGTCAGGACAGCCTCTCAAAGGAGGGGTATTGAGTGGAAGAGACTGTGTCTAAGCTAATCCAGCTTGAAGCCACCAAATGACTGTCGTCGTGGCGTCGAACAAACCATGTGAGCCTGTTGGTTGTCAAGCACGCATAACAACAATTGAAGTCGTCCATATACCGGGTGACTTGTCCTACAGAGGGAATTCATGGGCCATGGACCTCACTGCACCATGTCCTGCCACTTACCAAGTCGTTTCGCGCAAAAGAAGAGTCCCAATCCCGATCCTTCCGGAGTACGAGGTCCAACAGCTTTTGGATTCCAACCCCTCGAATGGCATGCCTTGGTTATCGACGAGAACAATATCAGGAGCTTTCCCTGTCCATGTCACTTTTCCTTTCTCCTTTCGCTCCCTATTCTGATTTTGCCCCAAGTGCTATGATTCCGACGTGGGTCAGGAGCATATCTGTGCATGCCAACCTGGAAATCTGCAAGGACAAGGTTGAGCCAAGATTCTCCGGCATCTAGCTAACGACAGGGCCGAAATGCTGTACGAAGTTGGATTGGACACTAAGTCCATATCCAACCCCAGAATGCTCCCTTCATGAGTCATATGAAGACACTACTTGTTCTTGTCCTCTGGACACCGCTCATGTCCGCAGCAGACTACAACTGGACAGAAGCCTTGCTACGATGTCTGTACAACTGTATCACTTCGCCATAGTCCTCTCACCTGGAGTCATCAGGGCTCAAATTCATGGCAAAATACCTGGGTGGCATTCCCATTGTTATGATCAACCACACCTAAAGCTACATATTCCTTGAAAAACAGCCCACAGCTCATCAACGGCCAAGTAGACCAATTCAGAAAACACCAGGCGTAAAATCAACCACCTGCGCCTTCTCAACCACCCCATCCAGACTCCTCACAAACGCCTGATGCGCCGGGTCCGTCCGCACATAGTACTCCCGATCGTCCTCGTTCTCGAACTCAACCACAAAGACATGCGTGATTCCGTTCTTCGCCAGTCAGTATGACTATATAACCGAGGCGCAAGAAACACGTACCTGCAGTCCCTCGATTGAGTTGTCCTTCCCCCCGGCGGAAGTCTTAATGTAAGGTTGTTGCGTTGTGGGGTGGATGCAGTTCTCCCTGAGATTGAGCATGCGGGTACATGTCTGGATGGTTCAGTATCGATGCTGGAATTGGTGGTGGTTCAGGACGTACGTCTTTGATGACTTCTGGGCTGATGGTGGGTTTGAATTGGAACTGGACGACGTGGATGATGGTCATTTTGGTTTGGTGGACCGTATAATGGAGCGTCAGTATGATATCAAAATAAGAAGTGTTTGGAAATTGCAGATGCAGATAGGTGAGGTCGGAAGAAGTTGCAGCTACACAGAGGCACAGGAAGAATGACGGAAGTGGGGTGAGTTGTTCCATAGTGGGGTAACCAGCCCTGTGAAAAACAGCCAGATTTATTCTTCTTCATAATTGCATGTCGTATCACTTGCGCATCCAAGCTGACTTACGAAGGCTATAACTACCTCTACTGGCGCCAAGGAGATGATCGGAGCAACGAGAGATGATATAAACGACGAAATACAGAGCAGAAGGAATGGTCGGAATAAGATCAAGACCCATCGACGCGGTATTGGGAAATGTGTCATAATGGATGCCCGTCCATCCAAGGTCATAGTGAGCGTGCAACTTAGTCTGGAGATGAATTGGTCCGTCCCTAAAAATGATGCGATTGGTATGGCATCACCAGGGAAGGAACTGCCACCTCAGCGACACTGATCTCACTGTATTGCAGAATATCCTGCCAGAGCCATACAGTGATCTTTGGTAAGCTCCTTTTTGGACAAAAGCGCAGTATAACTGACCATGCAAGCTAGGCCTCCGAGACAGGGTCTGGGTTGTTGTAACTTTCGATGAGGTCTTCATTCCTTTCTGGTTATTCTGTCCCAAATTGCAGAAATGCGCTTCGTCGCTGGCTTTTACCATAATTCATGGAGGCTCTATTCGATCAAAATAAGTGTGCGTTCTTGATCGATGAGATTATGCCCATTCCATGAGTCTTCCTTTGGACAGAATATGCAGCACTTCGGCCTCTATAAGAGGCAGAGTCAGTATCAGTACATGTTAGGCTTGTGAGGAACATACCCTCTCTTCGACCCTAGGAGGATGGCGACCACCAATGCCCCGGTTGGGACGTTTTTCGCCGGAGTCAGCAGGCCGCAACTGCGCATACGCGGAAGCATCCAGGCTGGAGGTTGGGTAAGCACAAAGATAGCCTGTATCACTACTTAGGATCCAATTGGTGCATAAATTGATCCTTTAATATGATGACCTTGCGGGGTATGTACTTACCCCAGATTATCGGGATCGTTTGACCCGAGGATGTATAAAGATTCCGAGTATCCTCACAGAATATGTCTAACGTCTTCTGTAGGCAGTCCTTGACCAACAATGGCGAGAAAAGGACTTTCAATCTTGCTCTTTGTGCCGAACCTTGCTCTAGGACGAATTGACCGGTGGGTTCAGGCTGGCAATTTGATCTTCCGTGAAGGCTCGCTGACGATAGCAGACAGCATGTAGTGTCCCAGTATAATGTGGTCCGCACGAGTTTAATCGACAATGAAACGACGCCTCTTCAAGTCGGCAATGGGAACTTCGCCTTTAATGTCGATAACACAGGCATGCAGGTATTTGATTGCCTTCTTCATTTCCGGACAATGACTTGATGTCATGCAGTCTTTCCTCCCATTCAACACTCTGTCAAGCTGGGCCTGGCACAACGATTCATTACCAACAGATGGGTACACTCCGTAGGATCATATGAAAAACCAAGAAATTGGATCTGATCTATGGTAGCGAGAAAACCGAGGACTATCACGGTGTGGCGATGTTGACCCACGGCCGAAACGTCTCCTACGACATTCCGGACCCCCATCTGCCACAAGCATCGCAATGGCTTATATCCAACCCGAACCGGATCAACTTGGGCCGAATTGGTCTTCAGTACAAGAACGAGTTTCTCACTGCGTCACAGATTAGTGAACCGCGTCAAGAACTAGATCTGTGGAGCGGCGTTATCACCTCCACGTTCAGAGTGGACGGTCAACTGGTGAAAGTGGTGACGCAGGGCGACTTCGAGTCCGACTCGGCTGTTTTTGAGATTCAGTCGGGTCTTCTCACTTCTGGGGATCTGACTGTTGAATTAGATTTCCCATACCCTCCGATCCACTCAACCAAGTACAAATATGAAGTGTTTGTCGGCAGTTA